CTCGTGGTGCACAGGGCTTTGAAGGGGTGCATTTCGGGGGGGGGGGGGGGCGGTTTTTTCGATGTTGACCGGGGCGGTGGGTCGCAGGCTGCATGAACCCCTGCATGGCCGGTTGGGTAAGCACCTGAACTGAGTTTCTGGTGCACGAAAAGTCTGCGACCCCAGCCTTCCAGCCAGTCATACCCGGCATGACACGAGCTGCCTCGCGAACCTCGCAGCAGCAAGCTGCTCAGGACAGGGGGGCTGCAGCTCACCCGCCACGGCGAGAAGGTACGTCAGCATCACTGCCGTGGAACTCATGCTCTTGCGATAATTACGCATCTTGTACGTGGGTTTGCGTGTTACGTCGAACCGCTGATGTTTGGAAGTGCTGAGCGATTCGAGCCTCTCAAAAACTTCTGTATCATACCGACTCGACGATCAAACGAATGTTTTCGTTGTCTTTGCCACTTTGTACTCAAATTATTGTATGAGGAACGCCAGGATGTCGCCATCGGCAGCTGCCCGTTTGTAAACAGCAGTAACCCCGACAAACCCCCAGACAGGTCAGCGCACAGGGCGGTTTCTGCCCTGGTGTAAGGCCGCCTTTTCACTGTTGAACAACCACTAAGAACTGCTCAGCGGCCCGCTTGCTTCGCCCCCGAGCTGATCGGGGTGCCCTGCATCAGCAAAGAATGGCAGTTTGTTGGCGCTTTCAACAGTGCCCACTTGGACATTATCCACACGCACGATGCAAGTGAATGAAGAGGGGTTGCAACCATGTTGCATGTTGTTTGTAACCAAGCTTGCATTGCACGACAGCAACACGCACTTGGGGCCTTTGTGGACGCCTGCTTGGCCACTAGAGTCCTAGCCACACAACGCTGAGCCTGGGCGACTCCAAGAGCGGGCGACCGCAGGATCTTGCGAAAATCCTCGTTCTTATCCCAATCATTTGAGCAGGCGGCATGCGTTCCTGGCAGCCGCCGGCACAAGATTCCTCATGCAAAAGTCACCTCAACAGTCGCCCCTGCCCGCACCAGCCAACTTTACACCGCTCACACACTTGCAGCCAGCGATACACACACACACGGAAGTTGCTATCACGACAGCGTGCTTGTCAGGTTGCGTGCCTGAGTTTGTTGTGCTGATGCAGCGGGCTTGTTTCCTTGGGCAAGCACCATTAGGTGCCTGGCCTTTTGGTCGCAGGGCATGGGCCCGTGATGCACAAAGGGGTTGTAACCATGGGGCATACTCACCTTCTCAGATATCCTGGCAATCGTCAAATGTCCTAAGCATGCACATTTGCATGCCCTCGTTTTGTGGCCTGCAGATGTAGTGATTTTGGCCGCACAAAACACGTACGGCGGCCTGCGGGCCAGGTGGTTGATGATATGGACCAAACCCTACTATCAGCCAACCAGCGCCAACGTTGGAATATCCATGGAAATGCTTGAACCGCTGTGTTGGCTGGTGGAAGAGCCTTGGAGCCATATTACGGTATGTTGCGGCCCAGAGCACACTAGACCAGTAGCACTGCACACCTGGGAAGTGATCCACACATGCCAGACAGGCCTGATTCATATTTTGAATTACCTAGATTATAATTGATATACTTTTCCGAAGCAACGAGACCTCGTGGGGCCTGCCGTGGGCCATAGCCGCCAAAGACAGCCTCGGGATCCTTTCTTGGTGAGCCGTTGAGGTTACATCCAAGCTAAACAAGCAATGTTTTTCAAATCATGCACTTTGTAGCACCACAGGGTGGTGCACTGGCGCAGCTCCGGGGTGAATCCGGGAGAATGCTGCTTGGTGTCGGCCCCCGTTCCCCTGTCAGCTGGCACCGCTTGGGCCAGCCATGCATGAGATGATCTTCCTTGAAATCTAATTATGTACAACGTCTAGAGCCCCACGCGTCCTGCCGTGGGTGGCAGCTCCGAAGCCCAACCACCCCGCAAGTGTTACCTGCCTGGCCGTGCCTGCCTGGGGCGAATTTATAAGTGTCACCTCACTTTGTCCCAAGTGTCTTCGCCTCCTCCCCACACCATTGCAGCAGTTCTCTGGTGACATTTCTGCAACCATGGCCAAGAATGCGGCGGCTGCTGTATTGGTTGCTGTGGCGCTGTGGGTGGGCCTGGCCCAGGGCTGCCTGCCCTGCAACACCTGCGCCAAGTGCAGCGGGGTGGCGGCCAACGCCGACGGCACCAAGACTGTTACGATTTGCACCCAGTGAGTGTGAACGGGCGCATGACTACTGTTTCAGCAGCAGCACACCCTGCCACTTCGTGCTGCCTGCAGCCTGCAAGATCGGGAACGCCAGCTGGCGGTCACACAGGCGGCTGCGCGGGCACTGGGTCTTCCGTCCTTGAATTGCAGCTCGACACCTTCCCATCCCGTGTGTGCGATCATCTACTTGGCGATGACCTGATACCGCCCGGCCCAGGGACTGCAAGGCAGGCGCGACCATCAGTTGGCTCGCGTGCCTCAGCTCCTCCGGCGGCGCAACGGCCAGCTGCACAGTCAGCGCGTGCGGCCCCGCCGGTGCTGTGAAGTCGGCCGACAAGGACAAGTGCGACAACGTGCTCGCCGCCAGTTTTGTCGTCCCTGCCGGCGCGATGGCCGCCGCCATCCAGCTGCACGACGGCCAGTTTGCGGGGACAAAGGATTGCAGCGCCAGGAATTCCTGCAGGGGCGGCTCAAATGGCGCGTGCCAGGCGGCGGTGTCCGGCGTTTGCGAGACGGCCGTCAACCTCACTGCATGCCCCACAACCCCAGTGGTCTGCGCTCCAGAGGTGCGATCCCCATTCCTGGACGCAGAGCGGCGGCTATGACCATGCCGTGCTGCTCCGGAGAGGCTCACCTGGCAATCAACGCGCTGCCCGCCAAACTTCCCTCACCTGCTGCTTGCGTTCTCGTACCCGATCCGTGCCATCGCGCAGTGCACTTCGGATGCCAACTGTGCCGCCGCAGGCCCGTGCTCCGTTGGCAAATGCAGCACAAACGGCACGTGCTACCAGGTGAGTGAGGGAGCCGATTGATTGGCCAGGGGTATGCAATGCAAGAGCAGGAAGGAGGTCTGAAATCCGGCTTGAGTGATTCTGAAAGCTCCTTTGTGGGTACAGCATTACAGGCAGCGACGAATCCGTCCCTAGGCGATTGACACCCAAATACTCATTCTCACTTATCTGAGGTGCCTTCCCCGCTGCCACCTACCACACATCTAGGATTACCTGCCTTCCACCACAATGTGCCGTGCAGTCGCGTATGG